GCCCTTGATCAAGCCCTAACAGGCATATTACACCCTCCTGACCACTGATTTTGGATCACTTGTTGTTCCCTTGTCCCTGAGTTTGTTAACACCACCCCCCCCCCACCAAACCCGTCGGTCCCATTGTTTTCTCCTCCAGATTGTTTATCCAGCCTATCTTATCTAGATAAATCTGCAGATAATAATATACACAAAAACAAGACAGAGAAAAACAAAGCAACAAAACAACAACAACAACAAAAAACCAATGACAAAACACAGCTAGATCTTAATAGAGCCCCAGACTCAAGGTTAGACTTCTTCAATAGTGAAGCTATAGTACTATTTGGTTTAAGAAGATTTCAGGGGATGTTTTTGGTTTTAGGTTTAAAATATCTCAGGGCAATAGTTTCAGGGCCTCATCAAAAGTCTCCATAGATTTTTTTCAGATTGGATTTCATGAAATTTTGAAATTCTATTTTGCACTTTTCCCCATTTGGTCAGGATTCTTCTATAGACTCTTTAATCAAAATGTTCAATAATAAGATTTGAGCACCCCATCCGGTTCTTCTGGTCTCATGGCAGAGGAAACCATTGACCAAGGAGGCAAAAAGCCACACACAGAATGTCCACCTTCCATTCCTGACTTTCCTTCCTCTGTTCTTCCACGTGAGAGACCAACTTCTGCGTGTGCCTTGACTGCACGCCCTCCACAGTGAACTGAGAAAGAGACTGAAACTACTAAACACTGCATTAGGCCAATTAACTGGAGCGTCCCATGCCACCCTGAGCCTAACCGACAACATACTGAGTCCTTTGAAGTGTTCTAGCTGTGTCTGTAAGCAGCCTCAGCAGCTGCTTTTTGCTGCTGTCACTGTGCATGTATCCATCTCACAACATTGGCCAATTCAAGCTTACTGACAGCAATTGCATGAATTGGCTGAGCAAGTCTTCAAATTAGTGTGATTTTCCCATCACTGTAAAAACTCAGCCCTACATAAGCAATAAGCCTTTTCTCCCCTCCTCCCCCACCTCCCCTCTGCTCCTAGTAACCACTAACAAACTTTGGTCTCTCTAAATCTGCCTGTTCTTGTTGTCTTTTTATATAAGCAATATCATGTATTTGTCCTTTTATGATTGACTTATTTCACCCAGCATGTCTTCAAACTCCAACTATACTGAAGTACGCATCAAGACTGCATTTCTTTACTGGGCAAGTAGCATTCCACATATAGTATATGTGTACTATCTTGTGTTTATCTATTCATCTGTTGATGGGAATTTAGAGTGTTTCCACCTTCTCCAATTTTTCTTAATTAACTGAAAACATGAGATCTGGTGGTTCAAGTGGTGAGCATGCCTAGCTGCTAACCAGAAGGTTAGAAGCTCGAGTCCAACCTTAGGTAGCTCAGAAGAAAGACCTGGCAATCTACTTCCCAAAAATCAACCATTGAGAATCCCATACTGGAAGGATTCCTTTCCCAAAGTGAAATAACACGAGGGCTCTTGATTCTTCTTGGTGGTTTTTGAGATCTCTTGAAGACCAGGGCCAAGGAGAGTGGCTAAAGGACAAACATTCCTTCTGTGTCTAAAGGAAGTTGACTCTGGGCTAAGTAGCTAAGTATTTTATACGAGGAGGTAACCCCCCCCCCCACCACCACCACCACAAAGCCCCTGGAATTTTTCATTGAGAACCACTGAACTAGAACCAGGAACCAAAATCCCCTTCCTGGGCTGCTGCAACAGCCAAAAATCTTTTTCAGGCCTTCTAGACTAACTGAGTCTACATTCTATCATTGTTCATTGGCAATCATAGTGCTGGCATTTAACACACACTAAAGTGTTGGACTGCAGACTGCTAGGTCAGTGGTTCAAACCCACTAGTTGCTCTGAGGGAGACAGATGAGACTGTCTCCTCCTGAATGGATTTACAGTCTCAGAACCCCCATGTAGGATTGCTAGGACTCAAAATTGGCTCAGTGGCAGTGTGTTTGGTAATCATAGGTTTTTTTGTTTAAAATAACTTGATAGCGAGATAACTACACACAGCCATCAGAATTGCCCAGCTGTTAGATCAGTGGTTCTCAACCTTCCTAATGCCGCGACCCTTTCATACAGCTCCTCAAGTTGTGGTGACCCCCAACCATAACATTATTTTCATTGCTACTTCATAACTGTAATTTTGCTACTGTTATGAATCATCATGTAAATATCTGATATGCAGGATATATTTTCATTGTAGTTATATATTGTGAAATATTTATTTCTAATTACAAATAAATGAAATTTTGTCTTGAAGCATGATGTAGCCTGGGTAACAGTCTTCAAGCCAGGTACTCGGATGTGGGCATATGTGCATGTGGGCGGACCCGCCTGGAGATGGATAGAGGAGTGGTGTGTAGCTTCCTAAGACCATTGGACATATATGTTTTCCAATGGTCTTAGGCGACCCCTGTGAAAGGGTCAGTCAACCCCCAAAGGGGACGTGACCCACAAGTTGAGAACTGCTGTGCTAGAAGATCCCAATTAAACACAAACACAGGACTCCGTCCTAAAGTCAAATAACATTTTAAACAGCACCCAGTGCTCCCCCAAGGTTTCATGACAGTTCAAGTAGCCGCAGGCTGGGGTTGCCATGGCTATCAGGTCCTAGAAGGCCCAGCTAGCCTCGGTTACCATCTTTCCCACCCCTCGCTGGTGCGCCGAGTCCTAAAGCATCTACACTAAGTGGTCTGGTCTTGTGATAACTCCACCAGACAGTGAACTCCTGCAAAAAGGAGCACAGATTTGGATGGGGACGTCACGACATAAGTCAGCACCCACACGCAGATGCCATCATTGCACCTTCTTGTTTTCCTTACTGCTAACCACCCCCATTTTTAGATGAGGAAACCGAGGGCTAGAAGTTAAATGGCTGACACAGTGGAACAGTTGGGATTCACATACTGCTCAGAGCCCCCACAAACAGACAATGGCACACCACTACCTAGAGGGTAGAGCAGGCTTGTACTGCAGGAAAACAGCGTCTTGGCACTCCTACCCTGTGTGTATCATGCCTGAGCACATCAGACAGAGTAATGCTGTCATTCAACTGATAAATTGCTAAGAGTTGATAAGTATCCCTTGTTGGCTAAAATTGAGTCATTTACTCTTCTACATCTTTCAAGTCTGAAAATCTCTCTACTAATAGATATTGCTCTAACTTTTAGAATGAAATAAAATTTCAGTATGTTATAGACTTCATGTTTTCATAAATAACTACCACCACTAGAATAGGAGAGAGTTTTTCAAAATGCTCAAATAGAACCCATTCTCGTCATTTTATAAGAAACAAGAAACATATTTATAGAGTTAAGTAGGTACCATTTGTTTCTGATATGTAATGTTATAACAGCAGTGAAAATAAGCAACTAGAGATGTAGGCATATCATTGGATGGGCATGCCTCACAGATTGCTACTAAAGAGTCTCTCTCTCTCACTGCCATCGATTCAATTTAGACTCATAGCAACCATTTCGGCACAGTACAAACGCCCCTGTGGGCTTCAGAGGCTATAAATCTTTATACAGGAGCAGAAAGCTTCATCTTTCTCCATTGGAGTTGCTGGTGGAGTTGAACCACCAACTTTGTAGTTAGCAGTGTAACCTATTACACGAGCAGAGCTCCTTTGCTTTTTTTTTTTTTTTTTAACATTCACGTCTTGGCACGCCGGGGTGAAGTCTGGTCCCTTTTCCCTCTCCTGTGGAGACATAAACTGAGCTCCTTTACTTTTAAATCAATCTAAGAGCATTCTTTCCAAGCGGTTCACCTATCCCGAGCCCAGGCATACCCTGTTTTATTGTGCTTTGCTTTACAGAATTTCACAAATAATGCATTTTTTTACAAAGGGAAGGCAAGTGGCAACCCTGTCAACCACATCTATCAATGCCATTTTCACGGGCTCACTTCTCTGTGGCCATTTTGGGAATCCTCACTTTTTCCAACTTTTTCATAATGCCATTGTATTTAATTGACTACTATGGTATAAATAGAACATTTACATGCTCTGGGAAACACCAAAATTTGTGTACTCGTTTTACTGTAATACTTGCTTTATTGTGATGATCTGGAACCAAACCCACCATATATCTAAGGTCTGCATGTTCTGTTCAACACTTGCTGGGTGAGTCTGATGCAGAATTAATCCCTTCATCACAGTCTCACAGACTGGAACAGGAGAGTGGGAAGATTTGTGAAATCAGTCCTATCAATCATTTGCTTGCTTAAATATCCATATCAAACATTTAACTACTGTGCTTCCTATAACCTATCAATACAAAAAACATGTGTGGTAGTTACATAATTTCCTGTCAACTTGAAGAATAGATAAAAGTATAGGTGTGGTATTCAGCCTGTCAGTCTGGTCACAGCCTGATGGTGCCTCCTTGTGGGCATGGCCTTCTCATAAGGAGGGCCCTGGGAACCTCCCCCCATCTCTCTGTCTTCACCTTCCCACTGCTGGCTGACCCTGATTGCTACCAGTGCCCTGGGATGTCACCAACACCATTGAATCCACATGACTTTGCACCCATCGGCCTGTGATATTCCTTCATTCTGCGATGTGAGTCTGAAGAGGGGCTTATGTACTTGAATTGGACTAATGGACTTGAGTTGGACTGGGCTGATGTGTTTTTTGGATATATAATTACTTCTTGATATAAAGCTCTTTCTCGTACATATGAGTGTCATTGGATTTGTTTCTCTAGTCAGCCTAGCTTAACACAGTGTGGATGGATTGCTATGATAACTCAAAAACAAATCTTTACATTAATTCAGTTATCTAATCCATAACAGTAGAAGATTAAGACCAGAAGAACAAAAATTAAAAATGGGTACACATACAGTTATGTAAGTAGATGTATTGTTAAGTACACAGCCAAATTTTTAGGAGTTTGCAAACTGAACTGTCACACACGGCTCAGCAACAATATGGCTAGAAAGCTGGAGAGGAAATAAAGCAAACGTGGCAAGTGTAATAAAAGCTGATAAATCGAGGTAAAGACGGTAATACTCTGTACTGCTTTTGCAGCTATGTCACATTACTGACTTGGCTTAAATATGCTGTTTCAAGTGATGGTCAGTGCAAGTCTTGAAAACAAGAAAGGGCTCTAAAACGTCCCAAACGAAACCACCAGACCCATTGCCTAAACACTGAATCGGACTCATAGCAACCCTATGGAGCAGAGACCTTGTCTGGATGTGGATTCCAAAACTATACATCTTTACAGAAGCCAACTGCCAGAGATGGAGTCCAACAACCATCAATTGACCACTGGTGCCGCCAAGACTCCTTCAAACTGCCCTATCTAATTAGAAGGCGCTTTCTTTTTACTAGATTACTGATCCCAATTACATGGCAGCTTCCTACCTGGTAGTAGCTGGCCTTGGCCTCCATCATCACCTGCTGGGTGGAGATCATCTTTTTCCTGCGTTTACACTCATCCTTGAGTAACTTGACCTCGGCTGCCTGCTTGGTGAGCAGCTTCCGGTTCTGCTCGCAGTCCTGGTAGCTCTGGCGCAGCCGCTCTTCCAGCGTGTGCAGCTGCGCCGTGAGGAATTCCTGCGAGTGCAGCAGGTACTCGATGGTGAGCTGCGCCAGGCGTATGAGCTTCAACAGCACCGGGTCCACACCCGACTGGCAGTGTGGGCACTTTTCGTCCTCCAGCTTGCAGAAGGTGATGTTCATGATGTTCTCTTGCAGCGTGAGGACGTCCACGGCCCCTGCCACCTTGTCCACGTCGATGGCGCTCAGCCGCCGCCAGTCCACGCTTTCCAGCCGGGGCCGGAACTGGAAGAAGGGCAGGGGACCCGAAGCGGCGGTGGGGGGTACCCAGGCCATGGTGGCTGCCCCTGCTGCGCCTGCTGCAGCAGGGGCAGGGGCGGTCAGGGTCGCCGGGCTCTCCGGACGATCCGCGAGCGGATAGTAGATGTGCTTCTGGAAAGGCTGCAGGAAGACACACAGCAAGGTGGGAAGCGGGTGGGGGTCGGGGGAGCTGTCTATCAGGAGACCTAGAAGTCTAGATGAGCCCCAACCGCCCACAGCCCGGCCCAAGCCTTCTGCTCTTACTTACCATGCTTGGAAACAAATCGGCCGCCTCTGCTTTCATCCAAGAAGCGACCGTCTCGCAGAACCGGGCTGTGCCGCCTCCCGGGCCGCCGCCGCCATACACCTAGGGAGCTGAGCCGGAGAAGACCGGTCCCTGGTGCTGGTGCTGGTGCTGGTGCTGGCGGCGGCGGCGGCGGCGGCAGCAGACTAGGGTCTGGGCGTACAGGCCGTTGCTATGGCAGCGACCACCATCCAGACCAGGAACAAAGTGTGCACTAGCACGCGCGAGGTCAGCATGCGCCCAGTACCCTACGGGGACCAAAGAAGACCATGTGGGTGAACCCACGAGGACACACCCGCCAGCCTGGAGAGGGTACATCCGGGCCCTGGCTCCGCCCCACCTCCCCACGCCCCCACCGCAGGACTTGGTGCTGGAAGCTCCCTTTACCTAAAGGCCTGGAACATCACCTCTCTTAGAACTTCGGCGCTAGTGGCTACCTCTGCATATGCATTCCTATTCTCGCCTTAGATTTTGAAATTAAATTCACTTAACTTTTGCACACAACTTAGAAAAAAACTTAGAAATTTTAAGGTGGGCCGTTGCGAGTATTGGCTCCAAAAAGGCAATCAGCAGCTTTGTGGAGTAACAAAAATGCTCTCTATTTTGACTATGGTGTTGATTACCAGTGTTTCACGTTTGTCAGACTCATTTTGTTATACTACACCAAGACAAAGTTGATGTAAAAATCAAAGCTGTGGTTAATTCTTTTGGTGACAGATTCGTTAAATTTCTTACACTAAAGATACTTTTGAAAATGAATCCTGGTATGTCTCTGTGGGTTGGCAGCCTAACTATAACATTTTGATACAAGTAAAAACTAACAAACTCACCAAATATGTATTAGTTTCATTTTCAAAACACTGAAGGCAAAAACATAACCGATAAGGGGACTTAAACTCATTTGTTATGCAGTTCTACTGGTAAATTTACCTTCCCAACTTGTGCCGGGGCTGCATTCTGTTCTTTGGGGAAGCTACAATATTGCTAGCAGCTTCCTGTAGACCTCATTCTTAGGGTCTCCTGGCGACCTCCTGTGGTTATCCCAGAAATCAGTGAACTGTAGAAAAGCCAGACATGCTTCAGTACAACAGAGAATTCCTGCTTGGACCAGCCATCAGGAAAACTTTTTTCTTTCCTACAGTCAAATATGTAAGCAGAAGGACAGCACAATTCAGAGTAAGTGGGAACAAGTTGCAGTATTGTGCACTGCAAATAAACTCATATAGAAGTACCAAGAAAGTAAACATACATACCATATGACTTTGTACAAACCAGGCTTTCAAATAACTCTAACTGGTCTGGAGGGGAGGAGCTACGCAGGGAGGACAGACTATCAATGTTTCATATCACTCTAGGGCAAAATTTAATGACCAATATTCAAATTTTACTCAGCCATTTTAAAGGCCACCGGGATACTGACCTGGTAGACCTATGTCCTGTGGGCTCCATCCACTGGACTGCAGGATACGCGGGAACAAGGGCCGTTGTCTCTTGCTCACCGTTATAGCCCCAACACCTGGCATAGGACCCGCACAGAGAGAAGGGTAAGCTTTGCCTGAAGCAGCGGTTCTCAACCTTCCTAATGCCACCACCCTTTAATACAGTTCCTCATGGGGTGGTGACCCCCAACCACAAAATTATTTTCGTTGCTACTTCATAACTGTAATTTTGCTGTTATGAATCGCCATGTAAATATATGCAGGATGTATTTTCATTGTTACAAATTTGAACATAATTAAAGCATAGTGATTAATCACAAAACAAAATGTAATTTTATATTGTGAAATATTTATTTCTAATGACATGAAATTTTGTCTTGAAGCATGATGTAATGTGGGCAACAGTCTTCCCGCCGGGTCCTCTTATGTGGGCGTATGTGCATATGTGGGAGGACCCGCCTGGAGACCGATGGAGGAGCGGTGTTTCTGTTCCTAAGACCATCGGAAATATGTTTTCCAATGGTCTCAGGCGACCTCTGGTCGCGACCCACAGGTTGAGAACCGCTGGCCTAAAGGGTGTGCAACTGAAAGATGGAGGGAATCAAGCGCTTCATTTACGGCCCTCTATTCCAACTTTCTCTGCCTCCAGTGTTCTCGCAGAAATAACCCGCGCTCTGGACCAAGCCTATAGAGCTGAACGTCCGTACGTGCGATGGGACGGACGCGCGGGGTGCAAGCGCCCCACCCCACCTGGGCTCGCGCATCCGGCCTTGGGGTACTGAGTCCTTATGCATCCTTAGCCCCCTTGGTCCGATCTCAGTCACAAAATGGCCGGAAGAGGAAAGAAGGGGCAATGCTTCCCAGTCCTTACCCAGCTCCCGATAGCCCGCGCGGGACCCAGCGCGGTGCCTCCCGATCTGGACTCAAGACTGGGCCCGATCACTGAGCCCCCAGGACAACGCTGAGGGCCACCGGGCCCGGCCGCGCTCCGTACAGGGCAACCGCGAATGGGGGCTGCGGCGGCCACCGCAGCGGCACTGCAGAGCGCAGCCCATCAGCTCGCGGCCCGGGAAGGCGGGAAGAGGGCCGGGCTCCGCAGGCACCGAAACACGCCGCCGGCCGCGGACTCCCGCAGGCGTCTCGAGCGCGAAAGGCCCCGACTCACCCCGACTGCGTGCTCCAGGGCGCGGCCGGGGTGCCGGCGGCGCGGGCGGCCGAAGGGGCTCCAAGAGACCCGAGAGGAGGAGCTGGCGGAGGCGGGGAAGCAGAGCGGGTCGAACGAAGCAGGCCGGTTCTTTCCTCCACGGCGCAGGGGGAGTGCCGTCGGCTCGGGGCAAGGCTTAGCAGCGCAGGGCAACGGGGGCTGGCAAACCCTCCAGGCCACTGACCTCCAGGTCCTCCCCCCCCTCCCGCCTCCCTCCCCCACCCCACCCCACCCTACCCCCACCAAGCTCTGCCGGCGGCCTCTGCGCTCCCGGCCCCGGCTTCTCTGGGGTCTGGGCGGAACCCGACAAGTCTAGACCCTTGGCGCTAGCGCTCCGCCAATCCGGCTGCGGGCGCACACACGTGGTGCCCAGGCGCGCTCGGTTGCTGGCGCGGGATGCTCTGCTGGGGAAGGCTTTCAAACAGGTCCATTCCCACTTTGTGCTAGCTTTTTCCCACAGGCACTTTCTATGAATTCGCTCCCAAGGACTATGACATTGGAAAAGCAGAAGTCCGCATGAAGACTTTAAAGGGGCTAGCTACTGTGTTTCCCCGAAAGTAAGACATCCCCCGAATATAAGACCTACTTACAGTTTTGCCTCTTGCTGAAATATAAGGCATCCCCCAAAAATAAGGCCTTCCCGAAAATAAGGCCCCCCCGAAGCTACCGTATCTCTAGACTCTGGACCATAGCAGCAGGAGCTGCAGCACAGCTCACTGTTGGCTGCAGCAGACAGGAAGTGCAAGGTCTCTTTTAATAAAACAATAAATAATAAATGTGTACCTATTATTCTTCATGGAGAAATAAGATATCCCCTGAAAATAAGACCTAGCGCATCTTTAGGAGCAAAATTTAATATAAGACACTGTCTTATTTTCGGGGAAACAGGGTAGTACAGCCTTGCATTATACGGACATGGAAAGCAAGATTTAAGAAGGACGACGCTCACCTCTCCGCCCTCCTTTCAGTTCTTGTGGTCACTTGGAAGGTTGTCTATGACTAAAGGCACTGATCTCTGTTACAAAAAAATTAGTAGAGTGATATTACGGATCATCAATAATGCAATAATGGGAAATTTGTTTCCCAACCTAAAGTTAGAATATGTGGTCTGAAATTAAGACAGTATTTGTGTTTCTCAGTGAGCAATTCAGAAAATACATCTACCATTATAGGAACTAGGAAGTTAACCCAGAGTGAGAAATCTGAGTGCATCTTCCCCAAAATATTAGTCTCTGCTGTACCAAAATAGTTATTAAATTTGACAGAAGCAACCTCCAGACTTTGCTGAGCAAAACAAGCTACTATAAAAACACCTGTCTGTGCCACCACTGACTCAAACTTCTATCACAAGGCGGCAAACATTGTAAGAGTGCAATAAAAACTGAACTCCTCGCTCCTGTTTTTACATGAATTCTGTAGGGCTTCGGACAGTCTGGGTGGGATTTAAATTTTAATTTGAAAGAGTATGCAAGATCATCTAGAAAATCCTTTAAGACTAAAGGTTGTATTAGAGCTTAAAAAGGTAAACACTTCTAGGTAGAAATGTCAGGCAATATGAAGTAAATAGAGCCATAGCTTTGCAATATCTGTGTTAGTCTGGGTTGACTAGAGAAACAAAATCCAGGGAGACTCATATATGGATAGAAAAGGGCTATCTATATCAAAGAACAATTGTATATTAAGAAAACATCCCAGCCCAGTCCAGATCAAGTCCAAAAGTCCAATATTAGCCCATATGTCTGTTACCAGTCTATAAATTCCTCTTCAGACTCACACAACACATGCAATGATGCCGAATATACAAAGATCACAGGCCTGTGGGTGCAAAGTCTTGTGGATCCAGTGGCAGTGGAAGCATCTGCCATCAGTGTGGCTCCATGTGGCTTGTCAATAGGAAGGTGTGGCAGAGAGAGTATGTGCCCCTCCTCCAGGGAGGAAGACAGGAGTTCCCAGAATCCTCATGAGAAAGACATGCCCACAAGAAGGCATCAATCAGACTGTGACATGATTGACAGGTTAGACTCCACCCCTATAACCTACTTAGCAAGTTGACATGAAATTATGTAACTACCACAGTATCTATACGTGTAGCCCATTAGGGAGTGTGTGTGTGTGTGTGTGTGTGTGTGTGTGTGTCCGCACGCACGTTATGGACTGAGAGAGCTTGACCTTGCCTTAAACACACTTGATGCATGCTAGAAGAAACTGAAATACTCCTTTGGACTTTACGCCAAAACACCTTAGTATAAGAAGAAGCAGAAAGCTACTATTCCCAAGTCATAGACAGCAAAACCCACATGGAAGAAGCACACCAGCCTGTCCCAACTTGATCGCTGAGGACAAAGTGGGTGCATAAGCAAAAGTGGTGAAGAAAGCTGATGGTGCTCGGCTATCAAATGATATAGTGTCTGGGGTCTTGAAGGCTTGAAGACAATCAGGCGGCCATCTAGCTAAGAAACAATAGAACCCACATGGAAGAAGCACACCACCCTACCCCGACACAAATGCTGAAGACAAAGCGGGTGCACAGGCAAATGCGGTGAAGAAAGCTGATGGTGCCCAGCTGTCAAAATATATAGAATCTGGGGTTCCATAGGCTGACACTGTCCGCAAAAGAATAGATGGCATATCTGCTGATATTCTTGATCAGGTAATTCAGGAAATTAAATCTGCTCCACTTCCAATATTTAGCATCCAGCTTGAATCTAGACGTTGCAAACTGTTCAGTTACTGGTTTATGTGAGGAATATTAATGATGACTTTAAAGATGAGTTTTTTTTGCAAACCTCTTTAAATGACAACTACTGCATGTGATGTATTTGACACAGTTGGTTGTTTCTGAAAGACCATAAGATCTCTTGGGAAAAGGTTTGTGGTGTTTTCAAGGATGGGCTCCAGCTATGCTAGGATGCTAATCTGGATGGATTTCAACGTTTGCTACTGAATGAGTCACCCAAAGTCATCGGAACTCACTGTATGATTCATTGGCAAATATTAGCAATGAAGACGCTGCCACAAGAGTTACAAGAAGTGGGAGGATGGAAGGGGGGAGGGAGGGGGAAAATGAGGACCTAATGCTGGGGGCTTAAGTGGAGAGGAAATGTTTTGAGAATGATGAGGGCAATGAATGTACAAATGCGCTTTACACAATTGATGTATGTATGGATTGTGATAAGAGTTGTATGAGCCCCTAATAAAATGATTTTTTTAAAGTTACAAGAAGTAATGAAAAGCGTCATGAGTTCTGTCAATTTCGTAAAGGCGAGCACTTTAAACAGTTGACTGTTTTTACAACTGTGCAACAAGTTTGATGCACCAAACAGTGCTCTGCTATGTCACATGAAGTGAGATGGTTGTCCAGAGGAAAACTTTTACGCGTTTTTGAGCTTCGTGATGAACTCAAAACGTTTTTTAATCAGAAAGCAAGACCGCAGTTCAAAGCACTTCTCAGCGATAAAAGTGAACTTAACTTCTCAGTGATAAAAGTGATCTGCGGAAAATAACTTACTTAGTTGCCATCTTTGCCATCTTGAATAAATTAAATTGATCACTGCAATGACCAAATGCAACATGCCTCCATTGGTCCAAAAATATCCAATCATTCTAAATGAAACTTCAGCTTTGGCAAAAATAATTGGATGGAATTAAAATTTACATGTTGCCTACCTTATCTGTTTTCTTTGGGGAACATGACATTGAACCAGACAAAAGGATTATGATGGTAATTTCTGTGAAGAATACTTGCACATGTTTGCAGAAGAAATTTCATAAATCTACCTGACACCACATTTGCACTTGCCAGTAGCCCAATTCACAGTCAAAGTTGAAGACGTTCCTGAGACAGTACAAGAGGAGTTCATTGAATTTATTAACAGCGATAGCTGATTTCTCTACAATGCCAGCTACAAAATTCTGGATCAAGTGTTTGCAGTCATATCCTGTTCTGTCTGATACTGTGTGCACCTTCTTCTTCCATTTCCAGCAACATATCTTTGTGAAAAGGGTTTATGCACTTGTTGATTATCAAGTGTAAATACAGAAGTAGACTTGTTGTAGAAGATGATCTTCTTTGTGCTCTTACAAAGACTGCCCTGAGAATTTCTGATTTGGTAGAAAGAAGCTATCTCAACCTTTGCACTGGTGTTGGCTTTTTATGCATACTGTCGCAAGATGTAGCAATGTCGTTTACTGTTGTTGTATTAAGACTGTTACCCATGCTACGCCATGCTTCAACACAAAATTTCATATATTTGTAATATAATTACATATTGTTTTTGTGATTAATCACTCTGTTGTAACAAGGGAAATACATCCTGCATATCAGATATTTACATTACCATTCATAACAGTAGGTAAATTAGTTACGAAGTAGCAACAAAAATAATTTTATGCTTGGGGGTCACCACAACATGAGGAACTGTATTAAAGGGTCGAGACATTAGGAAGGTTGAGAACCACTGAGCTAAATCTTCTTCAGGAACCCCATGTTGATTACAAAAATGTGCCAAGCAGGCAGATCTCAAGGTGATGTTAGCAAATTCCCACTCAGGGCCTTTCTTGACAACTAAGGGTAGTGCACCACCTAGCCCAAGATCCCAGGAGCCAGTCCCTAAGGCAGTTTACCCCTACACTTCCCAAGGAGTCTGACCATTTCCAGCCTTATGTTAAACTTTGCAGGGAGCAAGTGCCCCATTGACTCCTGCAGGATCAAAAAACCAGGCTTTGTCTCCTCTACGCACCCATAGTGAGGCCCCTCACAATGTCCAAGTTCAGCCCCTGGGAGAGGCACCAACCAGGACCAAAAAGACCAACCCTTTTTAGTTTTATCCCTTCCCCCACTCCTTCCTGCCTCCCAAAGTTAGGAAAAATTACTCTTATCTTAGCCTCTGTAAACCACTGGCTGAAAGGAATGAAGGTGGACTTTGGGGTCAGAGCGTGGTGCCCCAACAGACTGGACTGGAAAACACTCCTACTAAAGGCCAAAAAAACGATTCTTCAATTAACTACAAGCTTTTCTTTCTTGTTGTGTTGGTTTTTTTGGTCATTGGTTTGTTGTTATTTTGTTGTATATTGTTGCTTGGTTTTGCTCTGTCTTGTTTTCGTGCATGTTATAATCTCCGCAGGTCTGTCTAAATAAGAGGCTGGATGAACAATCTGGAGGAGAAAACAATGAGAC